TTATCAATTCAACAATACCTCTGCATAGTTTTTTTTTTTTTTTTCTAAAGAATAGCATAATGTGTAGCTGAAAGCTTTTTGATTAATTAATTACTATATTTAGTTCGTGTTTTATGGAATAAAACCTAAAGTTGGCGGTTGTATTTCCTTAAAAACCCAAGTCAAATTCTAAGGAATATCTCTAATTTCTGTTACAATTACATTTCTGAATTCCATGCCTACGCGTCTGGATTTTTAGTCGTACAATTAATTAGCATACTAGTTGATTTTATTTTATTTATTTATTATTATTATTTCTTTTATGACGGGAACCCGCAATCGCTACCTTTCGGGTTCGCATTGAATAAACTTTCGGGCTGACGCAATAGCCTGCAAACCACGCCAACCAAATAAATCGCACTAAAGAAGCCCTGTGTGATTGGCTCGACCGAGAAAGTATTGGTAGGAGAAATCAAATTCGTGACTAAAAGCCTCCACGCTCACCTACTCCATCAACTCGACCACCCCATGAGGAACTATTCTAGTTAATTCTTATTTGGTGTTCTAGAAGACTGACTTACAATGTAAGGTACTCATTACCTTCTACATAAACTAGAGAAACAAGCACAACCAGTCGCCAATAAACTAATTTAGCCTATGTTTGACTATTATTTTTAAGTTTTTATATTTACATTGGTCAAAAAACTTTCAATCAAACCACTTTTCATTTACACATTTCGTGGGATGGTAAGTACAATTCATTTCTTCACCATTCATTTATTCTTTTTTTTATAAATATCCAATTTTATAAAAACATTGTCGACATTCTCTTAATATCATAGTAAAATTTATCCTTACTTCATACATTATGGAACGTGCTAACAATTACAAATAAGTTCCTTTTAAATTTCCGAAGGCTCAATCCGTTCATTATTACATACAAATTTTTCTATTACTTAAAACAATTTTTATCATATATTTTGTTAAGATTTAAACCATCAATTATTTAAATTGAGATTTAATCAATGATTATAGATAGTATATAAAATAATTAGACGATTACTATTCATAATTATACTATAACTCTATATTTATAATTGATTATGATAGCCATCAGTATCATAATTATATTATACCGTATTACATAAGACAGGCTGGGTGGAATCGTAAAAAATACTTTACTTATTATCCAACCATACATCACTTTGAGACAATTATAGATGTTGATGTTCGACTTTCTGTGAACGTGCATAGAAATTAATTATGCGAGCTTTATAGAATTTATTTTAGAATCGTATTGAGTCATTAATAGTTGTCCGAAAAAAGGACTAATACAACTTCAAGACCATGTTCGACGTGACTCTCTTGAGACTAGTTTTCCTGAGCTCTATTATTTTATCTTGTTTTATTGTTTAATAATTCATATTTATCATTTTATTGCTAATTCATTGTGCTGTCAAATGTAAAATCAAAATCATAAACTTAAGGTAATTAGTAATTACAATCAATTAATAATATTCAATTTTAATTAAGTAGAAACTTATTTAGAATTTACAATCAATCGATTTATTTTTTTAAAATCACATCACCCCAAGAAGTGAATTCTTATAGAGGGATAGTCCTATAGATAAATCACAGAGTCTGTTTAGTGTGGATGTTACAGTTCCCAAACTAAATACCTATTTTTTTATTTAACAACGTCATTTGTTTCATTCTCACGTCTACAGAGAATAGCCATTAATGGTAAAGGGTGGTGGCCATTTCAATTCCACAATAACTGCTAACCACCACAAATTATTTGCTTTTGCACCGTGTTCATACATGCCAAGTTACTCTTTGCTCCAAATTTATGTGCA